GTTGCCCTTTTTTGCTTGGTGTGATTTATTTATTCACTCCTCAGACCCTAATTACATCTAATTCTAATTCCACCTTTATAGAATATGTTTGAACTCTTTCCCCGTAGACTTAAGCTACAAGATCTAGGGGCATAAAACTTAGCCATTTTTGATAATTATATGATGGTACCTATGAAAATTAAGTTAGAGCAGGTGCCAAACATGTGAAACAATGAGACATATCTATATTATAGTCCTGATGATATCTTGTGGGGACCTTCATGGCGAGGCTTCGCGAACGAAGATTTGGGAAGGCTCTATCCACATTTGCTACAGGCACGCTGGTGGCTTATGAGGCCAATACGAGACAGACATATCCGATTGCAAAAGGCACAGCAGAAAGACTCCTTAGGAGGTGTATTCTGCAATTTACGGTTCTTTCTGCGCTGCCTTTTTTCCTCGAGAGTGATCCTGCGTGTGTTCTCGTGTGGGGACCTTACAATATACTTTATTGACCTTCTTGGGGGTACTGCAATAGTACACCCTATGTCAGATCTACATCACTGTAATTGAATTTTAGGGAATTTCTGTGATGACTCAAAAATTGAATCTGCTCCCTGGTGCCTTTCCTTTCAATAAAATCTAAATCTTTTTTTCATTTCCCCTTTTAATTATGAAGGTGGGGAGACTAGGGAGAAGTGTTATGAATCTTCCTTGGCCTAGAGCCCTTTGCTTATGCTAACATTTTCCCATCAGACACCAAACGGTGACTACATTTTGCTCAGGATGGGCTCAGGAAGTTTTCTACTATTTTACATATGGCAGGCAAGAGATTGGCACTAGCACACTCTTAATCTCAGCATTCAAGCCCCAGCACTGCACTATAGTATCCAATTACCCATCCCTAGCTGGACTCCACTGTGCCTTTTGTACCTCATTCCGGCGAGTAGACACAGACTGTCATCCTCCATGTGCAATGCCCAGCTGAGTGCGGTGGGCTGGTGAGAAGACAGATCTGACTTCCACAGTGAGGGCAACTCTCTCCTGGCATACCTCAGCCCAGGTGCAACTCTATGAATCAACTTTAGACATTCCTAGTGCACTTGGAATATATCAAAGGTTTTGGGATGGCCTGTTAATACATCTTCAGTTTTTGCACATCTCTACTGACTTCGAGAAATGTCATAGTGATGTTTGAACCTGGTGGCGTTTTGCATATGATTGCTGTAGCTCCCTCTCTTTTCATCCCAGGGTACTTGTTCATGTATTTTGTTAATGAGTACAGACACAAAGAAATCAAGAGGAAGCCATCTTCAAGAACCCAATTGACCGGAGTTCACTCCAAAAGATGCAGCCAAACTAGTTTCTCCAAGCTAATGATGGCCTTCAAAAACAGTGAGTGAGAATGCACACACTGAGTACATAGTATTTCTCCTGCTGGCACAAGTTAGGTCTCTTTCTCTGGAGACTCCATCTTCTATTGTGTTCCCACCTATGCTGGATTTCTCCTAGCCTCTCCACATTGAAGTGTATTTATAAAATGACTTTTCTTGATAGGAAGAAATTGCCTCGGTAGGATATGGAGCAAATGTGTTACCAGTCTTACTCATTACCAGTCTCCTATGCAGTGATATCTTTTGAAGGCACAAGCTCTCCCTCCTTCCCTCTGCATGAAATCCTCCCCAAAGGACAGTGCCACTGCCAGGGCTGTGGCATTTCCTGGCAGAGCGCACACTATTTACTTTCAAGTGCCTCCACTAAAAACCATTTAATTCTGGTATCAAACACAACAGATCTAGATAGAGTAAAGCATAAGGAGACCATTTCTTAATATGGTGGGTTACTGGGCCTTGATCTGCCCTGTTGTGTCCTGATGCAGTTGTTCCATGGTCTATTTTGTACCTATCCATGTCAAATCAATGTCCAATGGTCCCATGAATTCCCATACATGCTCAGTAACTGTCTGGCCACAAGTTAGTCAACTCCCTTATCTCTCCTCTCACATGAAGAGTGGCAGAACTGTGTAATGAAACCTTTAAAACTGGATCTGGTTGAATTAATTCGCAACGATGCTGAAGTGAAACTAAAGAGTCCTCCTCTTGCTGCCTCTCTGATTTTTCCTTCCTTCTGGAACTGTCATGAAAAATAACACTAAAATCTGTCACTTCATGTAAATTTTCTACATGATACAGAACCACAATGAAAATGCTGAGGACAGAAAAGAATTTCTCTATTTAAAACAATTCTATCTTTGCACTCTTGGGCATTTCTAACCCTCTGTAGGCTACTTTTCCTCAGTCCTCCTCTTCCCTTTTTTGTTGCTAAAATGCAAAACACAAAAGTCTTTGTCACCTCTGTCTTTGAAGTAAAAGATCCCATTTCTGAGAAGACAAGCTATTTTTGTAGCTGAGCAAAGCACAGCTATGTCTAGACCAGAGTTGGAAACAGCAGCTGACAAAGAAAACCAGAAAGGGCATGGCAAGTTTATAGCAAACGCAGAAAATACAGGCCAAAAAATGCACACAGTGTCATTATCATTAAAATAATTTTATTTTAAAAATATTTTCACTTAATTCTCATCCTGAACAGCTGGTGATATCTGTAAGTATATTGTAACTATAAACATATACACTATGCCAATCTGGCTAAAGTAAACGTTCAGTGCATTTGATGAAATCACACACTTGGAGTAACTGCTGGTTTTCCACTGTGAAAAGCACATTTTTACATATTCCAGAAACTAAGTACATACCTCATTCCATAAATACTTCAGTGACTCTTACACTGAAGTTTGCCCACGGGAGAGCTGGCGTTGCCTCTGGTGCTAAAATGGCTGATAAAGAACTTAAAATAAATATATCATTGATGAAGGGTGGATAATCAATCTTCAAACTAGAAATCAAATTAAATGGACTATTTCTAAATGAGTTCATTTTACTGTTGTGTTACATATAAGGCAGCAATTATAACCCTATAATCTATTTTCATTTTCTTGGCCTTTTATCCAGGACAAATCAAGAGAAGTTAATGTGTTAGATAATGTGCTTCAGTAATATGGCTTGGTTGGTTTGGTTTTAATTGGTCTGTCAATACCTTCCAGAGGCTAAGGATTCTGGAGGTATAAAATATGCATTTTGTGCAATTCAGGTATGCATTTTGTTAAGATGTAGACCTGAAAATTTTGTAGGTTTAGAAATTAAGATTTAGAGAATAATGTGTTCATGTGGCCTAAAGGCTTGTATTATTACAAAGACATAGGAGTGCAATGTTGGTATATGTATTGTGTTATGTTAAACAGTGACAAGTTCTGTGGCACCCATACTAGATGACTTCTAGTAGCTCTTTGCCCTTCCACATCATCACAGAGCCTGCAGAACGGGCAGAAATGTGGGGCAGGCTAAAGGACAGGCTTTTTGGTTGGACCAGCTGTCCAAAACCCTAATCTAAGTGGTTTTAGGGTTAGGAACCGCTCCAGGGGAAAAGGGTGTGGATACACACTGTGGATGCTGTGTCATTCCTCTGAACCCTATCGCATGAGAAGTTGCCCTGTGTGCCAGGGTGAAAACAGCCCCCCTCTCCAGAACAACATGAGCTATACATCCTCTGCTGCTGTCAAGACACTTCCATGCACAAAAGGTGATATGGGAAAGTGAAGTGTGGCTGGTGCTCAGATGCAACTTCTTCCCCCTTTCTTTAGGATGTTTCCATGGTCTTTCAGCTGTTTTCTTTAACCATAACACACCGTAATAATATGGTAATGTGTTTTTCCAATTTCATAGATTACTTTCTGTGAAAACTGGTTCCGTGGGTGCAGAGATGGGCTGAAACTGCTCTGCCAAATACAATGCCCTGGGTGATGGGAAAGCTGAATTTTGGTCTAGCTCTCACACTCATAATTCAGGTCACCTCTCATTAACCAAATGAAATAAAGAAAACAGGAATGCTGGGAGAAGGCAACACTATTGTGTTATATCCTTCAGTAATAAGATGCAAAACAGCTTGGTAGCCAAACTAAAAATTTCTATGGTCCCAAGGAGGGAATATTTGCTATTGCAAAGTTCACTGGTTGCACACATGGACTGCCATGCTGGAGTGCAGGATTTGGGTCCATACCACAAGCTTGGTACTTGCTCATGATCCTTTCTCAGTATGTCTTTTGAGAGGGAAATGGGTTCACTTTCATTTGTTTAATTTTAATGAAAGAGATGGCTGTGGAAAAAAACAAGGCTTATTCTTTAATAGTAATAAAAGTAATTCTCTTTAACAGCTTATTCTTTAAGCTTATTCTTTAAGCTTTTGTGATGCCTGATTAAAATACTACCTAACAACCCATTTCTATAAATAATTAATATCTTGACTTCAGCAGAGTCTGTGGATGAGGAAAAAAATCTCCAGGATTTGGCCCTGAAAGTGCATTTTCTCCAGGTTAACATTTTTGGTGGGGTCTAGGGGTTTTGTGTTGTTGTTGTTGTTTCTTGGGGGTTTTGTGTGGTTTTGTTTTGTTCTTTTTTTTCTTTAATAAATAGCTGTATTACCTAGATTACTGCCTTTCAGGTCAAGTCTATGTAAACAACTCATAATAATGATTTTGCCTATCATAATGTTTTTCTCCCTAGAATAGTGTTATTAAAAGGCAGATGAAGTACATTACAAATCTCATTACATTTCCTGTAAAGCTAGCATTATATATCAGATATGGAGACATAGATAGCGATACAAATTGCTAAGGGTAGCATCAGTAAGATTTTGCTGAATCTGGCCCTCTCTTCAGAGAGCTCTGCCTGCACAGCAGCAACCATACATGAGGACTGCCACTCAAAAGTCTGTTCCTTCTGCAATTAGATTTTTTTACCTTGTAATTTCTATTCTTATAACATTAATTGGAAAGGCATTCATTGTGGATAACAAGGTGTAATTAGTTCTCTTCAATAAATCTTCATTGCCTCCCATAAATCTAGTATATTCAAGTCTTCTGAAACCATTAGTTTTTTTTAAAGAGGTCAATGTATTTATTAATTTCCTGTGTATGAGCCTGTGAATGATAAAATAGGAAACTGGACGTACAAATTCTACATTCTTCAGATGATGTTGTGATTCTTCTTTTCTTGATGAACTCTAGGGTTTCTAGAATAGAAAGTACATATGAAAAGGAGTGTGGCAGGCTTTTGAACTGAAAAGTACAGAAATTTCCTGATTCTCATAAAAAGCATACCTTTCATTAAGAATTTTTTTAACCTTATCAATAACTTTCAATAATTAAGCTTTTTAATTACCTCATCCAACCATGAGAATATTTTGTGTTAAATTAATAAACTCCTTCTATGGATGTTAATTTAGGCTCCTTTACTAAATGCAATACCCAGCTACGGAAAAGGGTGGACCATAATTTGAATAGTAAAAAATGTATTAATGTCACTAATTCTATTTCAGGAGATACTAAAGTCAGAATGGATTACTGAAAGAAATAACTTTAAAGGAAAGAAGACTTATTATAATTTAAATTGTGAAAAATTCTTAATGCCACTAATTCCCTCTCAATTTCTTTTTGTGTAACAAGCCATTTATCATTAGGATCATTTCAGTCAGTTGTGGTGATAAATGGGTGCTGATTAAATAAGTGGATAAATCAAGGCTTCTAGTACTGGATGTAAGAACAGCACTAAAACCTGTACCTCTATTTTCCTTTTGAGTTCTGCGGCAAAAATTGGTGTCCTTTTTTTCTTAGATATTAGTTCCCTGAACATGTGTTAGTCTGAAGTCTCCTGGCAAACACAGGTCTCTCATGCAAACTCAGTGACTCTTTTCACCAGTGGTGTACTCTGTGTCTGCACTTCTAGATGCTGTTGAATCCTACTGGAGGATATATTTTTATACATAAGGAATACCTAAGCACTGTCTCCTACTTAAGAAGAGATGAAACAGTTAATTATTTTCTATTGTTTGTATCATATCAACAATAGGAATTTCTTTTTTTTTTGTCTAAATGCCAGGGATGGAGAGGGCTTTGCCATTTACAGGCTCCAGCCCATGAAGGTTGAGTGTGGGTTACCTCATTCTAAAGCTTATTCCCTTCACAAAGCTGCAGGCTCAGTAAGTGACAGAAAGTAAGCACGTCTCTGAAAGATGTGTGGCCTATTTCTCTTCTCTCAAAATAAAGTGAAGGAGACCTGCACAAGCTCATTTTCCTGAAGTTTGGCATCTGATGGAATCCTCTGAGTCTGAAAGGAGAGGGGCTTGTCAAGGCTCAGCTATTACGAGCATTGAGAGCTTTTTTGAACTACTCTGAGCTTTCAGGTTTGTTCGTCATCAAAGAGCTCCACATCCCTCCTAGCCACTTCTCACAGCAAAAGCTGCAAAAAGAAAGGGAGAATTACTGGAGACAGGTCTGGGATATTCTGATACCTGCGAGAGGAGCTGATGCTATTTTGCTGCTTCTCTGCATCATCATTTCACCTAATATTGTTCCCTTCTGGGTGTCCACGTGTAAGGCACAAAGAGGAACTCCTTTCTATAATCTAAATTACTAATTCATCACCAGCTGTTTCCTACACACATTTTTCTCTGAGGTGGTGGGAGAGAGGGCACAGACATGCCCTTGATGGTGTAATGCTCTCAGGTGAGACATTAGCAGGTGAATCTACATCAGAATTTTAACCCAGACCAGGAACGTAGGTTTGAAGTGATGGTCCTGGTGGTCCCCACTCACTGCAGTGTAGGTTGTGTCACAGCAAAGCCACCAAGAGTGTGAAGGCGATTCCCTGAAGGAGATTAAACCAGATGTGTCTCAGCTGCACACCTAACATGCCCCAGTGTGGACCTGGGGATCAGACTAGCAGTTATCACCCTTAAATTGTGTCGTGTCAATGGCAGGTCCCCAGCATCAGTGGTTTTGTTCTACAAAATCTGTGTTTATTGAGTTTGTTACTTATTAAAGCAGACATAGTCTGTCCAGTTCACATACTGATCATTATGGCAGCTTGTGATCTGTGGTCAGAAAGGTGTCATCCTGCTGGATGGTTTGGCAGGGAGGATCAGAGTATGTCCCTCATTCACAACACAGACCACAATGTACCTTGAAGCATCCATGGGATATCCTGTGACTGCAAGAATTGGAAATGTTCTGAATTTCTCCTAATTTTTCCTCTGCTGCATTAGAAGTATCACAATTGGTCTTTTCCTGGCATGAAAAATGGCCCTTTGATTGAAGTCTGTGTTGCAGTCGATGGGCACTGGATTCAGTGATCCTGCAGATTCCATCCAGCCCTGATCTCTGCTGCCACCTGTACAAATGCCAGAGAAGAATAGATGAAAACACCCTTGGAGTCAGGACTGTAGATCAAGAACTAATGTTGATGCAGGGTGCTGGACTTGCTTTTTCACAAACTTCTTAGTATGGTGGTCTTCAGCTACCTTAGAAAGCAGAGACTGCTGACATAAACACTGTTTTGCTGACATTGTAAGGAAGCTGATCTTGAGACACAATCTATGTCCATCTCCCAAGTGCTCAGGGCATTAACAATTTTGTAGCTGAGCAATTTCCATGAATTTTTTCCGAGTCTTTAAAAAATGTCACTCTGACTCAGTGTTGCTGGTTTGCTATGAGAGGGAAAATGCCTGTCTTCAGCCTCGCTATTTTCAGCAGCCTCATATAATATATCATAAAGAGACTTTTTTATTCCTAGAAAAGATACTTCTGGAATTTATCTCTCCTGACAAAACGATGCCCAAAGCCAGTAGCATTTCTAGTGTTATGAAGTGGCTTTCCCTCCACGCTTTTTGAAAGTGGAAAAGAGTTCTGTCTCCATCAACTGCAATTACTTCATTTCTCTCTTCCTTAACAGAAGCCTTGTTTCCCCATCAAAGCACAATTGTATTTTAAGCAACAGGACAAAACATATCAATGAATCTGAAGTGACAATATAATGCAGCTAGAAATTTGCTAAGATCTTTTGTAGTTACCTAACTTTGGAGAATGATAGAAATTAGAGTTCATTACAGATGTCCCTCAAACCACTTTCAGCTATGAAGGTGCCAGTCAGCTATGGGATGTCCCTATGAGCCCTTTGCAGTACCCAGACATACTCTGAGCATCCCTGGAGGTGCCCAGCTGCCTCAGGAGCTACCCATCCCACCTAGTTTGTCCCCAAGTGCAGCCCTGCTCAGACTCTCTTGACTCTGGCTCTGACACTACTTATATTGTGATATATCCATCCTGGCAGGCTCAATTGCTCTTTACAAATTGCTCTTGCAGGTTGGGAAATTGAGAAGGAGCCATTTAGAACAACCTTCTGGTGACTGGCAACTCAAGGATAATTTTACATCTTCCAGTTCCTCCCACTGCTTTTGCAGTATGCATGTGTGGGTCTAGCCCCAAGATGCAGAGCTGTGGTGATTTCTTTGCAAAATTCTTTGTTTTCATCTAATAGTTGCATGTTGCCTGTTCTGCAGTGGGTTATTCTCCAGTCTGACCACAAATGAGCTCCTCTCATCTAGAGCAGACCATCCTGTCCACTTGCATGATGAACAGGTCTCTTAAATGCAGTGCAGTGGCAGAACATCATCCTCTTCTTTCTATTTGCCTCTATTTCTATTAGTGCAAACCCACTCTTGTTTCCTTAGTATTTCTCTAGGAAATATTCCTTTGAACAACTGTCACCTAGTTTCCTTGTACTCTCCACAGACCTGTGAATATTATAAACTTTCCAAGTTCTACTACTTCATTATTTAGCTGGGTATTAACACAGAAAATACAGAAAACAAGACCAGACTAGGCCCTGGGAGGTGATCCAGTCCATCAGTCTGCCTGAGGCAGGATGACCTGTACTTATGTCATTCCTGGCCTATATTTGTCTAACCTGTTCTTAAATGAAACTTTTAGCCTTCCTGGGAGCTTAGGAATCTCCCATATGGGAGATTGCCAGCAGGGATATAACCCTGCCTATATACAGCTCTGTGGTATGTTGACAAATGCATTCATTTCCCCTTCCTGAGAGCAACCAGACCCTGAAACGCAGGTGAACGTAAGACACCTATGACATCACCATGCTTTTGCCTGTTTTGTTTGGGCTGTGGAAAGAGCTAGGTTGAAAACTGTGTTCTTCTCCATCTGGACTGTGCTGTGCTTTTTTCCTCCCTGTTAGATGTTCCTCTCCTTTTGTCTGCCACTTAAAAATGGTGGTAAATTTAGCTTTGAGGAGTCAAATAATCACAGAACCAGAGAATATGCCAAGTTTTAAGGGATCCACAAGGATCATCAAGTCCAACTCCTGGCCCTGCACAGGACCATCCCCAAGAGTCACACCATGTGCCTGAGAGTATTGTCCAAAAACATTTTGAACTCTGGCAGGCTTGGTGCTCTGACCACTTCCTTAAGGAGCCTGTTTCAGTTTCCAACTACCCTCTGGGTGAAGAATTTCTTTCTAATCTCTAACCTAAAGCTCCCCTGACACAACTTCAGGCCATTCCCTTGGGTCCTGTCACTGGTCACCACAGAGAAGAGATCAGTGCTTGCCCCTCATCTTCCCCTCATAAGGAAGTTGTAGACTGCAGGGTGGTCTCTTCTCAGTCTCCTCTTCTCCAGGTTGAACAGACCAAGTGACCTCAGCCACTCCTCATACAGCTTCCCCTCAAGGCCCTTCACCATCTTCGTTGACCTCATTTGGACACACTCTAATAATCTTATATTGTCATGCCCAAAACTGCCACAATATTCAAGGTGAGGCTGCACCAGTGCAGAGCAGAGCAGGACAATCCCCTCCCTCGACCGGCTGGGAATGCTTTGCCTGATGCCCCCCAGGACACCATTGGCCCTCCTGGCTGCCAGGGCACTGCTGACTCATATTCAACTTGCCATCGACCAGGACCCCCAAGTCTCTTTCCATGGCAATGCTTTCCAGCATCTCATCCCCCAGTCTGTCTGTATATCCGGGGTTGCCCCATCCCAGGTGCAGAATCCGGCACTTTCCCTTGTTGGACTTCATATGATTGGTGATTGCCCAGTCCTCTAATTTGTCGAGGTCTCTCTGCAGGGCCTTCCTGCCCTTGAGGGAGTCAACAGCTCCTCCCAGTTTTGTGTCATCTACAAACTTGCTTAGTATCCCTTCTATTCCTGCATCCAAGTCCTTTATGAAGATGTTGAAGAGCACAGAACCCAAGATGGAGCCCTGTGTTACCCCACTAGTGACTGGTCACCAGTCTGATGTTACTCCATTCACTATTACCCTCTGTGCTAGACCTGTGAGCCAATTGCTCACCCACCACATGATGTGTTTATCCAGCTGTGTGATGGACATTTTGATGGCAGCGTCATCAATAACAGTCCATGCTGTTATTCAGCACTTCTCCACAGCTAAGGATTCATGTTCGGGTGCCTGCTATGGGAAAAATGCCTCGCTGGTTTTACCCAGTCAGCATTTCAGATATACACTGATAGCTATGTGAGCATAAACAAGACTGGAATAACTGCATGCTTGAAACGTCTCCTTTTCATCTGTGCTTCTAAAGGTTTCTGCCAGCAGCTCCTGAGATCTCTTTTAGCTACTGTAGTTCATAGAATCACAGAACTGCAAAACTGTTTGGGTTGAAAGGGACCTTAAAGACCACCTAGTTCCAACACCCATGCCAGGGACAAGGATACCTTCCACTAGATCAGGTTGCTCAAAGCCCCATTCAAGCCCCTTTGCATGTTCTCTCACATGACTGGAGATCATCAACATCTTAATAAACACACATCTGAGCACTGCATCTTGAAGTCCCAGTCTTTGACGGAAAACTCAGTCTCCTGTCTCTTATAGAGAGCAGAGGGGACACCTTTGTATTTCAAGCTCTGCATTTTGGCATATTATTAACATTTTTTAGCATATTGAAGTAAAAGTAAAAGCAGGAAGCAGTAAAGCTTTATCTCTTTTCCCAGCTCATTTTGTCAGAAATATTTATAGTAGTTTGGCCCATAGTATTAATATTACAGGGCTTGGCTGATCCATTTGCATAAACAGGCAGCATGAAGTCATTAAATCAGTCTTGGTCCCACTGTCATTCACATCACATTGCCTTTCCACCTTTTTGTTGTGTGACTTCTTAAAAAAAGTATGTGATAGTATTGCTCCTCAATAGCAACCTGACTTTTGGCTAAAGTGTATAATTTTTTGTTAGTATTTATTAATTGCTATTACTTACATGCCTATTGCAAACTAGTGTTTTGTTATAAAAACAGCTAGTATGACCTGCATTAACCCAGCATAGGTGAGTTCCCAGACAAATTTTTTTGAGAAAACAGTTTATGATATGTTTTGCCTGGAGAAAAAAAATCTGCTCTAAAAGTTATTTGCACTAGTATTTCTTCTGTGTGCAGATTTTTACAACGCACAGTAGCACCGTCATCATGCACATGTGGTCTGGAAAGGCAACACTGTAGAGTCTGTAGTTTTATTGATTATGTTCAGTTTTAAATTATGGGGTGAAAAACCTAATGTGCAATACCCTGGACTATATAATTTACGCTCTGCAAATGAGGTATAAATGCTGCTCTGCTGGGCCCCATTAATGATTTTTGCACAAGGGTGAATTATTACAGAAGGGGCAAGACAGTATGAACTGGCCTTCCTGTTATAGGCTATTATAATTTGGTTTCTCAGTTGTGAAATAAAGAGAGGAAAATTAACAGAGCAGAAATAATTTTTTTTCTGTGTGTGTGTGAATAGAAACTGGGTACATAGGGAACATTTCTGCAAATGAAAGAAAATGTGCTTTGGTTATATTCAAGACCTTTTTATGTTTCTTTCCCATAAGTGATCTAGCAAATAAGTGCTTTGATTGTAATGTTCATGAGGAAGGTAAATCCCAGAGAAGTGTATGAAGAGTGCATGCTGATTTGCAAAGGGGTAGTCATACAGAAAACCCTGTATGAATGATCACTCTTCTCTATCCAGAATACATTGATGCCTCCATGTAAATGTCACCCATAAGAAAATCACCCTGAATGCTGGGCACTGATATTTGATTAATTACTGTTTTACAGGCAATGCATTTTTTACATAATTTCTCCACTAAATATTTCTGATTAAAAAGAAACAGGATTTTTAAGGTTTTGCTATGAGTGCCTTTGGGAGCATAATGCACTGACAAAGTAAACTGAAAAACCTTCAAATGTATCCCGGACTGTGGATGGAAAAAAATTGTAATATTTCAACTTGGGGAATCTTATGAAGCTTAACAATGATATCTAAATGGGTATCAAAGCTAATTTAAAGTTATAAAAATACACATAGGACACACGAACAGCAGTGGAAGATTTTGTTGTCTTTTTTGCTGAATCCTACAAATCTCAAGATCTGCACTTGTGTTTCCTGTAGAAGCAAAAGCTAAAGATATCTGAAAATAAAGATCTGAAATAGCTCCTAATATGTTTTCTCTATACAGAGACCGATGTGCACCCCTCCTATTTACTGAGGCCAGAGGTGATCTGGAGCTGCCACAACAAAGTACCTCCTCCTCTGGCAGCTCTCCGTGAGGCAAGAAGTGGAGGCTGCACCAAAACATAACTTCAAGATTGTCTTTGGCTCCTTGTCCTCTGCAAAATGTGTAGGCAGCATCTCACTACCACTGAGGGTGAATTCCTATTCAGGGTTTAAGTGCATATTGGGGGGTAGCTATTAATCCACAGGGCATTGCATTGCACTGGTCTCTACTAGGGAAAAACCCCTCCTTCTTTCATGCTGTTGAGATGGTTCAAGTCAGTTGAATTTACTATTTCCTTGAGAGACACTGTGCCATTTCACCATGTGATTAATTTCCTCTGCTATTTTGACAGAGTGTTTAGACTTTTATAACTTCATTTATAAAAGCAAGCAGTGACCACAATTTGCAGTTGACCTCAGGAGGAGCCATTAAGTGTTCAGAATTTCTAAAAAAAACCCCAAAACCAATGCAGGTAATTAGAGCACAATATGAGGATGGCTTGTGTCTTTGCCACCAAATTTTGACTGCAAAGGGAGGTGTCAAGCTGGGTTTCATATTAGGCTGAGTATACATTAATTCTGAGTAGACTGCTTTGCTTAAAAGAGCCAATCAGCCTGTTAAATTTTGTATGCATCCAGAGAAGCTGATAATTAGTAAATTATAAGTAAAGAAGTAATTTTGTACCTAGACTACATTTGGAAAAAGTGTTTCTTCAGAAAACTTGGCAAACTATAAAAGAAGATTCTTTTCTTTCTTTCTTTCTTTCTTTCCTCTCCTCCTAGTTCCACCTGGTGTTTCTGTGCGGTATTGTTTTCCTTAGCTACCTTCAATGTTAAATAATTCATAAGTTATATCTCTGGTGCTACTTACAGGCCTCCCCTCAAACCAATTTTCTCTCAATATTTCAGACCGATTTTTTCAATCCATGCTGCTAGAAAATATGAGTTAGTCTGTAGAAGTGCCTAACATAGGAGCATGTTGAGTAAGATCAGCATGAAGAGGATTGGGGCACAAGGTTCCCTAGGAAGGTGAACCCTGGTGTGAACTGGAAACATTGCAGCATTTCTTGAGCCAGGTATTTCCAAGCTGATGGAAGACAGAATACCATTTATGCTATTTTTTTTTTAATCTCACATAGTGCAATAAATAACCTGACAGCACTTCTTTATATACTGAATTTTGTCTTTTCCACCTTTTCAATGTCTGCGTATTGAAAATGCAGTGTTGATGTGCTGGAACTGTTATTACCAGGCACTTACAGAATGCAAGTACTTCAGCTTTTCTAGAGATGAGTCTGAATTTTAAAGATAAATATATACAGGAGAAGGATAAAAAGCATAGGAAGAAGCTAAATACCATTTTTCCTATTCCTCTTTGCAGGCACCAGGGAAGCAATTCTGCTAAATGACAGAAGGGAAGAACTATAGCTCCTATAGTGAGCACAATTTTGAAAGCTCCTCTGTAGGACATATTTCTCCATGTGCCTTGCCTAATTCCTTCTCTTCCTTGATGTGACATTAAAGTCAAGAAA